ATAATTTTATAGGCAATAAAAAATTAATTTCATCTCTTAGTTTTTGATAAGTCTATCGATCGTATATGATCTCAAAATAATTAAACACTCGAAATATCTCCCCCACACACACAATTAATCAAAAGAAAACAAAACAAGAAATAAAATCAAAAAATAATAAATTATGAAATTGACGAAACACGTCAATACTTAACGTCAAAACAAAGAAATTGTATTCATCATAGCTACTGTCCAAGACTTCCCAATTAAAAAAGAAAGACTTTCACCAAGTTTTTTAAAACCAAATCAAACTAATCCTATTATGACTTTAATTAATACTATACCAAATTAAATAGAATATTCTATGGGTCAAAACTCTTAAACTCATTAAAATTCTAATTGCAAACTAATATTAAATAAATAAGAAATAAAACACTTGGAGAATTTGGATCAAACTCCAATAGCATTAAAAAAAAAAAAAACTTGGCCTTTAGGGCCCAAATTTTTAGAAGGCCCTATAATTTTAGGTACATTACTAACTCAGAAAAAATTTAAATACTTTAAATTTTAAACCCTCCAAAAAAAATCCCAAAAAATTAAGTACATTCAAAATTTTTATTGTAATAATTTGGGTCCATAATCCAATTCATAAGATTAGAAACCTAAAAATAAATAAATAAAAAATACTCAAAAATCATCAAAAATCAACTTATATTCACCCCTACTCACTCTCCCCTTGTGAAAAATAAGTAAAAAAAACTTTAAGAAAAGTTAAAATTGAACACTATCTCTTTTAAAAATATAAAATTAAAATTAAAATATTTTTTTCGGCAACAGTAGTGTGTTCTTCTTATGTCTCTCTCACATAATGAATAAAAAATAAATTATTTTTTTTTAAATTAATATTAAAAATAAAAAGACCTTAATTTAGTATTTTCGGATCCACTTGTTTACTAAACAAGTGGTTTAACAAAGACTCAAACTCACTAATTTTGTGTTGTATTAACGAGTCGTGTCATATTTTGACATCCCTAGTTTTGATATAAAAAATTGACTTTGTAGAGTTTAATTTTTTTTTCCTTTGAACTAAAAATCGTATTTTGATGTAAAACTACGTAATTTTATAAAATATATTGTAACATGAAAAATAATTGTGGCCAATACAATTTTTTTTTTAGAGTTTTTCTTCTTTAAACAATAAACTATTTTTTAATCTAAAGCACCGTTGTGATATTTTATAAAATATTATATGCGACAGAAAAAATAGTTGCCACAAATACAAAAAATTCTTTTTGAGTTTATAAAATATTTTTTGCGGCAGAAAAAAATAACTGTCTCAAATATAAAAATTTATTTTGAGTTATGACACTATTTACAGTAAGAAAAATAACTGCCACAAATATTAACAAAATATTGATAAAAACACGTTTTTTTTGACAGCAAACACAATCATCACAAAAAATTATCTCAAACATTCCTTTTGTGACAGTGAATACAACCTCCATAAAAAATATTGTCACAAAAGACCCTTATTCTTGTAGCGACAAGTATAAATAATTGTTGCCAAAATTTTGTTTAATACTTTTTGACGATGAAACGTAATATTTGTCGTAGAATATCTTTTTTTTGGCGACAATTTTTCTTACACATCGCCAAAAATCGTTGCAGTAAAATTTTTTTCTTGTAATGATATTATGTGACCAATTATCATTTGTCGCCAAACAAAAATAATTTTAACTTTCTTTTTCGAGACAAACATGTATTGTCGCTAAATATTATTATTTTTGTTTTTTTATTTTTCGTTATTTGACAAAAATTTTGCGATCAAAAAATTATTTTGGTGACAAATTTTTTTGTCGTCCATAATATTAGTATTAGCGCCAACATTGGTGCCAAATTTTTTTTGGAGGGAAAGTTTTTGCGAAAACTATTGGCGACAACTACAAAAAAAGTCGCCAAAAATATCATAAAAAATTTTATCGCAAGAAACATTTAAAATTGTCACCGAAAATCACTTTTTAACAACAAATTTTATTGTTCGTCGCCAAAATACGTCGCTAAAAAACAAATTTATTGAGTGGGTGTGGAGGATAATGGTGACCGGTATGGGAAGTAAGGTGTTGTGGGTGGAGGGGGTCAGTGGTGGGCAGTGGAGAAAGAGAGAAGAGATGTGCTGCGCATTTTGGAGGCATCGCTGGAAGTCTGGAAGTAATGGAGAAGCATCCGGGTTGGGTCCGACTATGGTATAATATGGGTTGGCTTAGGCTGGTTTTATTTATTTTAAATAAGGGTAAAATAGTCATTTTAGAACTTCTGTTAGGTGTGTTAGTCTACTGTTACTAACAGGGGGTGTCAATGTAATATGTCATACCTGAGGGAGTCTATGTGTTTTAGTGACAAAGTTTAGGGGGTTTAGATGTAATTTATCTAATAATTAATTTTAAGGATGAAAAGAAAAATACATGAGGGTCACTGGCAACCGGTGGTCACTTGTGAGGAAGAGCATTGTCGGTGGTGTTTCACTAGTGAAGTGGTTGTGACAATGGTGGTGGGTAAAGGTGGTGGCAGACCATGGATAGAGAGAGAGAGAGAGAGAGAGAGTTACTTGTGAGAAAACGATGCCAGAATTTAGGTTGTCAGCACCAAAATGAGTCTATTCAGTGGATTTTCAGGGTCGTACGTAACCGATTAGTGATTGTCCGTCACCGAGATGAGTAGAGAAAAATGAGCAAGAGAGAGAGAGATGAGGGGTTAAAAGAGAATGAGAGATTAATTAAAAGATATGCTACAGATTTGGGAGAAAAATGAGGCAGAGATGGTTGAAGGGAGGAGAGTTAGGGCATGAAAGAGGGGCAAAACGACGTCTTTCTGGTTTTAAAAAAAATTATATTTTGTGACGAAATAAAACATCGTAATAAAAATTTCTAAAAAAATTATTGCGATGCAAATAAAAAAACGTTGTGAATTAATATTTTTATTTATTTTTACTTTAATTTTGATTTACAAAAACAAAATTCATATTCTTTGAATAACATGCAAACCTCACGAATTAATATTTTTTTTATTTTTAATTTAATTTCAGTTTAAAAAAATAAAATTTATATTTTGCAGTGAAAAAACAAACCTCACGATAAATTTTTTTGTAAAAAATTTTGAGACGTAGATGTGAACGTCACGAATTAATATTTTGACTTTATTTTTATTCTAATTTCTAAATATTTATTTTTACAACGATTTAATACTATCTGCAACAAAAAAATATTTGTCGTAGAAATTTGTCATTTTTCACCATTTCTAGCACCAAAAGAAACTGGAAGGGAATCGCCATTTCATGACTCACTTGGAAAAATGGCACAAAAAAAATACTAGAATAGGAATTTGCGACAAAATTATAAAACCGTAGCAAATAGTATACTTTTGTGACTTTTATTAATTCATTGCAAAAAAATTATTTTTCTTGTAGTGTAGCAGAGATATTCTAATATGGGAAGCTAGTGTAATTTCAAATAATTGAGAGGGTTTTCTATAATTACACTATTGATATACATGGTTGAGTGTAATTTACCTTTTTTAAGAGTAAATTGTACTAACGGTCCGTGACGTTTGTCCTTCGTCTTACTTTGGTCCAAAAAATTTTAATTTTGTCAATTTCCTTATCAAAATTTAAACATTAAACTAATAGTCGTAAAAAAATAGATGGAAAAAATCACGTGTTTGTCTCGTGCGACTCTTTAGGGACCTTTCTAGTATTTTATACTAATCTATGCATCCAAAAATCATTGTTCTCATTTTGAACAATATTAGACATGAACTAAACGTGGATCTTCTTCCTTCTTCTTTTTTTTGTACCCTTTTTCCTTCTCTCTTACACTCCCAGAGAATAACAGAACCCTAAAAGAGTTTGTCTGTCTCTCCATGCTTCTCTCCCCCTCAAAACCAATGAATCCCTCTCTTTTCTCCCCCCCCCCCCCCCCCCCCCTCCTTCCCCCTCCCACCAAAACCCCACAATATTTCGTCACCCTCCCTTAGCTCTACACGACTACACAACCCCCTCCCTCTCAAACTTTAGCACCCCCATAATGCGCACTCATAACATAAACAAAAGCACAGACGCGCTCAGATTCTTGGAACACTCATGTACACTCTCAGCACCTACCCTCTCTTCCTCCTTTCAATTTGCTCTCGAGCTATGCCTTCTTTGTCTTTCTATCTCTCTCTCCTAATAGATATATCTCAGGATGCAAGAGATATAATTACCTGGTCTTACAGGCTATCATCTTCTAAATAAGGTAATTTTGTTTTCCATGAGTATCTCTTTAGTGAGTACATATTGGGAAGACTTCAGAGATGTCTTGAACTACATTGTACATTCATATTTTTTTTGTAATAATATATTTATTCACCCAAGAAAAAACAAATCTAAAGTATTAATACCTGCCTTTGGTTAGGATATCGCGTAACTTTTTAGCAGTGAGAGTCAATATAACCAATCAAGCTAACCTAATTGGTTTACAAACTTGACACCATTCAACCACCATAAATTGTGGAAGTGTAGAACTCTTAGCATGTCTGCCATTTTTTTTTCCTTCCATGTCCCACTTTAGCAGATTGACTGTTTAATAGGTAAAGGAAACTATGGGTTCAAAGTTAAAATGGCAAAATATTTAGCATTATTTGACTGTTTACTAGAACTAAACTTTCCTTTTTTTTTTTTCAGATTTGATAGTGTCTTTATTTTCTTTTAAGGGGCCATTGCCTAGTTGAACAATAAAAATGCTTGACTTGCAATTATGAAAATAAAGGTTGGAGTTTGAGGGCAATATATTTTCAAGATTTCGAACCTAGTGCAATGGTATTCATCCACCCGAGTGTTATATGGGTTTGATATGTCTCAAATTGGGAGATTTAGATCTACAATGAATGACAACATAGAAAATACAGCACAAGACATTTACCACTAATAAAGGATATAGAATTCCTCATTGAACTTGTAATAATACAACAACAGTTGAGAAAAGAAACTTGCAGTACAACAATATGACATCCCTGAAAACAATTGTACTTGTAAATTGTAATACAACAACATAAGACTAGGTAGTGATAGATGTGGATTCTCCTAATACACTTTACCTCAATTTTCATTGATGACGGATCATCTACTATAAATTGGTGGAGGATCCACTTATATGTTGAGTCTTATTCAAATTCATTACGACCTACCAATGAAAATTCGAGAAAAAGAGATGTGGAAAGGATCCAAATCCATATAGCGATACAAAAAGCAAGCATGAATGCTTTAATAAAATTTCTCATGGCACCATATTCATCAACTCTATCTTTAAAGTTGTGCCAAGCGACGTATATCAAATGGGTATGCATCCGAGGAAGATTGAGCACTATATGATCTCCTTCCCACAATGATATTTGCAGCTTCAGTTGGGTGAAAAGCATCCCAAAATAAATACTCATTCCTATTTCGGCATGGAGTTTGAAGAGGAAGGCATGTTATTTGGCCATTGTTTCTCCCTACACCACAACATCCAGCATTCGTAACCCTAAAACCTGAAACCGAATATGAACACAAACATGTTAATTTTTTTGGGAAATGATATCACTTTTTTCTTTCATTCAGGTCAAAATGGCAAGGATTTAGAGGTTGGCCTAATGGCCATTATGCCATAGTTGTTTTCGGGTTAAAACAAGTGGCCCTTGGAGTGACTGGGCCAAAAAAACCTAGATATCAGGCCGACTCGACCCATCCGAAGCTTCATACCAGATTTTATCTCGGCCTATATTCATCCCTAATATTAGGTCACTTATCGTACATCCAAATAGAACTCATCAATAAACCATGAATATTGAAGTCGAGAAAATCTAATCTTAGTACAAAAATGACAAAGTTGATGATAAAATTTTATTGAAAGTGAAATCGAATTTATATACCAAATCCAGAGGGATTGCTGATCAGATCCTGAAAAATGCCATAAGCATCAATGTAGATGAACTTTGCGTCCGTTAGATTCCTGTTGAGTACATCCACCAGAGACTTGAGCTTGGTATTGAAAATCTGATTTGCATTGTTAATTCTTTGTACACACGTTCTTCCATCTGGGCTGTTTTGGGCCAACTCATTTGGGCTGCATCCAATTTGGCCCACTCCTATTAAGGCAACTTTCCTTGCTCCATAGTTGTACAAATCCTAGAGCCACACAACATGATGAAAATATTCACATCATTTTAGTTGAGTAGCTTTAAATTTATGCAAATAATTTAACACACACACACACACACACGTAGAGAGAGAGAGAGAGAGTTGTAATTATATATCAGCAACTCTGGGTCGAAATCGAGTGATGTTTTGTCGCATGTGGTACTAGTACTAGTTAACTATTAAAAAAAAAAAGTTAACTGAATAAATAAAGATCAATAAAATTTAAGCATAGTATACATTAAGGTAGAAGCAAGAACACAAAAGGGTATACTTACCCTTATTCCCCGGGAATATTGTTGAATAAGAACGTCGGCAAATTGTTCAGGCGTATATTGGCGACTAGACGAGTAGTACTGAGGCATGAAATAGTTGTTGAGGTAATCGTTACTGCCCATTCCAAGTGAGTATATGCACTTGCTGAGATAATTTGCAGCAGTGTTTTCATCCCCCAGTATGTTCACAACTTGTGATACTGTGTTCTTGTAGTTGTTTACCTGCCCACCAAAACTAATTCTTGCACCCTATAAGAAACAAGAGTTACCGAGTTAGGATATATACCAATTCTAAAAGAAAATTTGAAAGATACGAGAATACAGCAAAACAAAGATAAATTAGGATATATACCAATTGCTGTCCAGTTTCATCTCTGATTCCAGCAGCTGCTGATGCATAATTCACTCCTCCGAGTATGGCTCGTCCGCTCGCAGTTGCATAGGGAGGAATGTAGTTATTGAACCCCAAAAGCTGAGCTGTAATGGGAGAAAGAAAATTAGTCACATGAATCAGCTCAAACTATGATGTTGTTACTACATATAATGCATTCTTGTATCATCCATGAAAGTGCACCGAGATTGCGGACACTTTCATGTTTATTTTAATCAATTAGAACAAGTTGCTCCGTATTACTTGGAACGGGAAGGTCGTGCGTTCAAAGCGCAACGGAAGATTACAAAGTGGAAACAAAGGCAAAAATAGGTCGGACCCAAAGAAAGCTTTCTATAAAGACTTCATTCCAGAGCCAAAAAACTACTTGTCTACTAATAATGAACTTCACTAAAACTGTGTTCATCAAACTCACAGTTTAGTGACTCATCAGTTTTTTCTTTAATTCTTCTTTCGATATAAGATCAAACTCTCACGTGAACTTCGATAGAAAGAGATTAAAACAGTTTTAACAATAACCATTCATGATATATATGGAGGTTTGTATGAACTCCGAGACATAAAAATGTTCTCTTTGAAGGTGACAAAATCTAATTCTTCTTTTTTGCATTTTGTATCTTGTTCTGTGTGTGCGTGTGTGTGCGTGTGTGTGTGTGTGAGAGAGAGAGAGAGAGAGAGAGAGAGAGAGAGAGAGCTCACCGATGACATCAACTGTGGTTTTACCATTACTAAACCTTCCGGTTGGTCCTCCTGGGAAGTCAATCCCATAAGGCGCGTAATTGGCTTTAGCTAATGAAGAAATCCCATTATTATTTCCATTATCCACCAAGGAATCACCAAAAATAAAGTAACAAGGAACTTGTGGTTGTGCTCTAACCCCACACTGCAAACTCACCACCACCACCCCCACAAAAACCACCAACCATTTCTTCAGCTCACCACCCATTGTTCAGAAGATGTGAATGTAAGCACAAAAAAGGTCACGAGAGAGAGAGAGAGAGAGAGAGAGAGAGAGAGAGAGAGAGAGGTAAGCTTGGAGACTTTAGGAATGGTGGGTTGTGATGAAATTTAAAGCTAGAGAGGAGGTATTTATAGAGATCAGAGAGTGTATACTGTGTAAATTCAATATTCGGATTTGGAGGGATTGACCACTCTTTTACAGTTGGGAAGTTGGTTTGATGCATTGATTTCACGCGGGTATAGTGTGAAATCTGCGCAGTGGACTCACCATTAAATTAAATAACCAACGAATGTTGCAACTTAAATCATAAAAATTATATAAACTTAAAATTTTCCAATTTTTTTGTGGTAAATAGATCTAAAAACTTGTATCAAAACTCACAAAACTTCTAAAATTTAGAGGCATGGTACCTAGATTTTTTGTTTGATATTGTAGTCTTCTCCTTCTCAAGAAAAAAAAAAGCGAGAATCATCTTAATTAAGCATACTGCATGAACCTGAATAATAGATATATTGAGTTAGTTATGAATAAGATGTTTAGCTAGTATTCTAAAAAAAATATATATATATGGTTTTTTTTTTTTTTAATTTTGTGTTTCTTGATCTAATTGTATTTTATGAGACATATTGATTTGATTTTACTAAAATTTGGGGCAAGTAAATTTTTAATTACATGGAGATCTGATTTGGCAGATTTGGTTGAGAAAGTAAGAGATAGTCTTACTGTTTATGATTTGCGAGTTATAAGAACATGACTCAAATTCAAAACAAATCAAGACAACGTGACCCAAAATGCGATAACGTAACTCGAATATGAAACAAATCGAAAATAACATACAAGAACATGAATCAAATACAAAATAGAACAAGAATAATGTTATGAACAAAAGCTACAAACAAATAAATTGAACAAAATAAAAAAATACAGAACACATATTTATGTGAATTAGCTCTAAAGCCTACATCCATGAACAAAATGCAGCAGCAAAGTTTCACTATCAACAGAGGAAGATTACACAAAATTTTCTAACTAGAAAATAAAACCAAACATAGATGTCCAAACTGGGGGCCAAAAGTCTCAAAAGAAACTGATTAGTCTATAATCTATTTATAGACCCAAAATACTTTGCCTCCTAATATAATGGAATTTCTAATGTGTCTTTTATTTGAAGTAGAATTTCAAGACATCCAATCTTTTAAATCTTTAGGAAGAACAAAGTTCAAATCAATTTCTAATTAGTATCAAATACAAGACACGCACAACAAATTTTTATTTTGACTTATATTCCAAAATATCATAACATAACTCGAATATGAAACAAATCAAAAATAACATGACCCAAAATGAAGTTTTAGATCTTTGGCGATCAAAATCAGAACAAGGCATTCAAGTACCTACCATTAATGCAGAGAGGATGTTTCTGCGTGAGCAAATATTTTCTTATTTAAAATTTTTTTAATATCAAATGAACTAAATGTGCTGATGTGAATGGATTCTTATCATTCAAAAAGAATTATAGGATTGCCCAATTATTTGAGAATTGGAGATGAGCCTTACCCGCCATTAATTTTTTATTTTTATTTTTATTTTTTTTAGGGGAGAAAAAAAAAATGAAGACTTGAACACTTGTCCTAAAAAAGGCAACTAACTCCCAAATTGTGTATCAATTAAAACCAATTTGTATACAATCAAATGATTCGAACCCATAACGTTTTGATATCTTGATCTTTGGTTGAGCAACTAACTCTAGGGGTGTCAATTTCTGACACAACACGAAAATACGACTTGAAATCATTACAAAATTAAAGAGTTAGGGTTAACTATTTCTCGACATTAACCCATATATGACATAACTCGTTAACTCGAACAATAAATGAGTTGGATTAGTGTCAAAAACTAACAATACGAAATCGACACGATTAACACGTTTTAGTAGTATTATAAGAATAAAATTTTAATTTTTTATTATATTTTATCAAGTAGTGATCTAATTCTTGTACAAAAAAAATATATGTTTACTCATTTTTATTATTATATTTATTAAGTTAATTTTTAGTTTATAAAAAAAGTATTGAGTATAGGTTCGATTAAATGATAATGAAATTTTAGACATAAAGCTGAGCGTTCAATTTTTTATTCACGGATTATATGAATCGACGTGAATATGACAAGAAAATAAATAGATCGAGTCAACACGACACAATTAGTTAAACAGATTAAATTAAAATTGACCGATGCTAAACATAAACTCAAAATGATACGACACGAACACAACCCGTCACGATCGTCACCCCTTGCTAACCGGTGCACAGGGTTTATTGTATGAAGTTTGATCGCAGAAGATGTATCTGTTTTCACTAAAGAATGATGAATGTTATTCTTTATCACTCAAACTTCATACCCAGCCTGTATAATCTAAAGTCTCTAAGATCAGACATCATAAAGGCAACTTTTAGACTTGTTCCAGTCCATAAAAACCATGTCAACGTTTTTAAAGTCCTTTGTATATTCAACAAGAGCCGTGTTGTCCTAATAAATTTTTCTAGGTCTTTCTGCCTCTATTTTGTCCTTCGCAGATACAGTTGGAGCAGGCAAAACAGCCTTTTTTTACTAAAAGGACGTTCGTCTTCCAAAATTTTGTTGTTTTCATCTAAATATCCCCTAAAGACTGAATAGTATTGTGTTTGTTAATTGTTATAACTCTTCTTCTCTGTACAGGAATTGGAATCATTCACTTTCGGTTACTGTTAAATCTCTAAGCAAAGTATAAGTAGATCACTTGCTTCCCCCTAACACCTACTAGTTATAGTCAATCTAGTTCTGATGGATTTAGTGAATTTATGTTGATGGCCATTATTAAGTGATCTGACCGGTCAACTCGATAATGATCTGAACTAGTTAAGTTTATAACGATTTGGACTCCAGTTTAATTCAACCAACCACATTGCTTTGACCGATTTTGATATCTAATACACAAAAATTTGACAAGCTGTCACTTGTTGCTTACTTCGCGAGCCTTCACTGCCTCCATTAGTGATAGGAAAGTGTCATTGGTTATTGAAGATTATGCTGCTCAGCATAGCACTAGAGGGTAAACTAGATTCGTCCATAAGCTGATTGCCTCAGGTATACTCACCACTGTTTCAACTTGGAAGTAATAGGGAGTCCAATCCCCTAAGGTCCCTTGGTCTCATTTGGTTTGGTATGGCCAATCAATCCCTCGCTTGAGCTTCATTTTGTGGTTGGCTATAAGGCAAGACTAAGTACCAAAGATAGGATGCAAATCTATGCAAAAAACATAGGGGGGAATGTATCCTATTTAGACAGGCTACTGAATCTCATCAACACCTATTTTTTTATTGTCATTTCTCTCAAAGAATTTGGTTGAAGTTAAAAAAGATGTGTGAAGAGCCCACGAGTCCAAACTAATGGAATGAATTGATCAAGTTTGCTTCATTAAATTGGAAGGGAAAAGGCCTACGACGAGTGCTACAAAAACTCTCTCACTGTGTACTATATGTGAGGGAAAGGAATGGTAGGTGTGCGTGCTAGATCTTGCACAATATAAAAACGAGAACAGATCTCTCCTTTGGTGAACTCGAGTGAGTCAGTTGAGTGGTCAACCACACTGCTTGGAACAACCTGTGAGATCCGGTGGTAACCTAGAATGGTAATGGGAGACCCTCGCGGATCAAAGGAACGATCCAGTATGGCTGAAGAAAGGTTCCTGGAACAAAGAAGAACAAATTAGAAGGGCGCCGGAGTGTTTTCCGGTGTATCCCCTCCGACGATCAAGTCAGTTTTTGAGAGAGAGGAAGAAGAAAACACTGAGTATAGTTTGTAGCAAAAGTTTCACCTCTTTCTCCTTGCCTTTAGTGAGGAGTATTTATACCTCAAATACTCATGATTGCTGTCAGTGTGGTCAGTAGGTGATCATTAGATACAGGCAACGTGCGCACTGATTCCTATGAGGAATGTTTTCTCTCTTAACTGCTCGGGACCCCGAGCAATCAAGACTGTGTCATTGGCCTGCCGACGGTTCAATGAGCTCCTCTTGGGGAGGATGCAATAAATGTCCAACCTTAGAGACATTTATTGCCTTTCACTTCTGAGCCTTACCGCATTGAATGCAGTCTCATCAAGGGAATGGTGTAATTAAATGCTTGTTTTCCCAAGTCGCGTGTCAGCAAGGTCATGCGGTCTTTCTGTCTCTGATGTGACACAATATGCCACGCGTCCATTTCTCATTGGCTGTGGCCCCTGCCTTCCTGTGCCTTCTGACACCAATTGTGTAAGACGAGGTCATGATAGCTAACTTAGCCTAGCCTAGGCTAGTGACCAGTGCATCAATAGCCTCTGTTGGAGCAGAGAACTTCATCCTGGATGAGAGAGGGTACATCTCGGTACCGAGGAAGAGGTACATCTCAGAGCCGAGGAAGAGGTACATCTCGGAACCGAGGAATAGGTACATCTTGAATCCGAGAAAGGGAGGCCTAGCGACCGATGTACCATATCAGACCGAGGGTACGTGTCGGTACATAAAAACGTACTGAATGCCACTCAATCCCATGATAAGTACCTCGAGGTAGAGGGGACTTGTGACCCGATGGGTACGTGATCTCGATAACAAGGATCAGTGACACCGAGGACACGTGTCTTCATCTTGGAGTATTCCGAAAATGTCCCATCAACTGCCCCCAGCCTTCGATCTTCTGACACCGAGGACACGCGTTGTAAGGAGACGAAGGGTTTTGCAACAACCCCAACTGCTTCATCATTGCCCCTAGCCGTTTTTCCTGCTTAGGATGTCGTGCGCATTAAATGCGCCGTTTCGTGCTTCGCGCCCAATGATGGGATAGGTGCTATATATAAAGGGGTTTTCTCTCTTCTTTTTTCATTTCATCGTTCTGAACTTTTCTTCACAAAGAGCCCTCGCCTGAATCTTCGTCGGAGACCTCTTTCCTCCGTTTGTCAACTGTCCAACC